TAGTAGTAGTAGTAGTAGTAGTAGTAGTAGTAGTAGTAGTAGTAGTACTAGTAGTGGTAGAAGAAAGAAGAAGCAGGAAGAAGAAGAAGAAGGACGAAGACGAAGACGAAGAAGAAGAAGAAGAAGAAGAAGAAGATAAAATGCGCACAGGGAGGAATTGAACCCCAGAACTCCGGGATCTAAATGCCTACTACGATGCAGGGTAAAAATATCAACTCTGTTTGCCTGTCAGCTGAGGTCAATTTTTTCTTCAGCCACAAAACCAAAAAGCACCAACCAGAACAAACCGAGCACACTGAGCAAAGTGGCTTGGTTGGTTGTTGGCTGGCTTCCTGGTCTCTAGCAGCGTGCTCGCAGCCCAAATCTGAGTCCAAACATTGCTTCTGTTGCCCGAAGACACAAGGCACTGTGGAGAGTGGGTGGGGATCAAGGCATGAGGATCAAGGCACTTCCACAGAAGACAGAAGGCACTGTCTCCATTGTCTAACACCCCTCAATGTCGTCTGAAGATTGAGTGAGGATCGAGGCACTTCCACAGAAGACACAAGGCACTGTCTCCACTGTCTAACACCCCTCAATGTTGTCTGGAGATTGGGTGGGGATCAAGGCACTTCCAAACATTGCCTCTGTTGCCAGAAGACACAAGGCACTGAACAACACCAACAACAACCAAAACAGCAACAACCACAGCCACAGCCACAGCCACAGCCACAACACCAACCACAGCAACTACTACAACCACCACCACCACCACCACCATCACCACCACCACCATCACCACTTTCACCTGTTTGTTTTTGCCGCCTGCCATTGGCTTCCCTGCTGGCCCGCTGTTGAGCGTAAGCCCCTAAAATCCATTAACCACCCCTTGTGGGCGATCAACAACTTGCTGCGGATGCATGAGAACTCTCAAAGATGGCAAGTCTTCTCAGCTCAGTTTTGGAGTTTCCCATACCGGATGGGACGGCAGCGACGATGGGATACATCAACTCAACTCGTTCCCAGCGGGTGTCCCAACGAGCCGGTTTGCAAACCACAGGTCTGCAACGAGCAAGCGCGCAACGCCTTTTGCGCCATCAGACCGCCGCTCGATCTGTGAGATGCCAATGGTCGGTGGTTTGTTTTTATCCGAGAATGAGAAGATGTTTTGGGGGTCACCTGCTGATTTCAGACCGAAGACTTATGAAGATCTTAAAAATTTCCATGTTTTCAATGTTTTGCAAACTTCGGTTCCAAGTTCTGAGACTTCGGAATGGGGCTAGAGTAGTTGCTGACTGACCTCATTCTTTGCATCAAGAACATCCATTTTTGTTCGGCATGGCAGCGTGGTGATGTGTGCTATGACATTGGAAAACACAGCATTCGGGGTCAGCAAGCTTCCTTTGAGAGGACATGACCTGCTGACGAGTGCAAAGACTTATTTTTCTTCATGTTGCTGGCTGCAGACTCAGACGTTTTGGAAAGGATCCTGAACCACTCGGATTTGTGGGATAAAACCTTCCCTGCCGTCGGAACCATGCGACTCTTCGGATGTTTCTCGACTCTTCGCACCGCCGCGACCCGAGGCCGGGGCACCATCTGGGCCCCGCGGGCGCGGTGGACAAGAAGGACCCGCGGGAGCGGTAGCCGATGGCGGACGGTTGCTGAGACGCCATCGGTCTGTACCATGTCCGATCCTCTTGAAAGCCTCGGCTGCCGGCCCCGTTGGACCGGGACTGGACACAGCACCTTTCTGTACCAGAGGCTCTCTTCGTGGTTCGAATCCTCAAGGGTGGAGGTTGATGTCTACAATGTTCCACTCTCCAACTCTCACAGCAGTCGGGTGAAGATGTTGTCTATTTTTTTTTTTCCCGTTACTTGGGTATGACCTCCAACTGATAGATCCCCGAGATTGCCACATGGATAATTGTATATATGACATTATATATGGACATGAATCATGAATCCCTCAATTCATGCCATCCACTCATGGCGCCAGGTCTTTGACTTGTTGCCACTTCTGCTACTTCTGGCTCAGGCACCTCGAGCAAACAGACATCCCTCGCAACACAGACAGACCAATCCGGCCATGCGGAGTGCGATCCTGTCGTGCTTGGCCTTGGCCGTCACGGCCAAGGAGCTTACCAAGGAGTGGGGGTGGGGGTTGGTGGTGATTGGATGGACGAGGCCATTTACTTGAACTCCGGACTCCAAAGAATCCATAGTGTCAGACTTGTTTGAAGATTGAAGAACCGTTCCTTTTTTTTCCATCTGGTATAGTGGTCCCAGGCAGGCAGTGTCAGACTTGTTTCAGAGCGATGTGTTGATGTTGTTCAGGTCTGGGGCCAGGTGAAAGGTGATTTCAACTCTACTCCTGTGATGGGACGTGTCAGGAAGATGTCAGAAACATGCGGTTCTTCTTTACCAGACCATGACCTCTCTGCGACTGCCGTTTCTCGATCAGACCAGGGGGAATGAATCCGGAGTCTGTTTGTCCTGTAGGGTAGATATTCCATATTCCAGGAGTGTTTGGGTAGTGCAAGCTGCGATCAATCTCCAACAGGAACTTGCTTTGGGCGGAACATAAGCTTTGGGACATCTCCAAAGCTTCGCACCCTCGGACCGCTCAAATCTTTCCTCTGAATGTGCTGACCCTGAAAATACACCATCCTTGTTGCGCTCAAGCCTAACCCCCCCATGTGGACTTGACATACCCGCGATCTCTCCTACCCGCTTCAATTGGGATTCACTCAAACCTCATCTAACTCCTCATCTATATACCATCATCTAGCCATCTCTTTCAGGCCGAAAAGGGGAAGATGTTGGGTAGCGAGGTTTACAGATCCAGGCCTGTTAGAACCCCATATGCTGCAATTCCATGCTGGAATCTTTACAAAGCAATGTTTTACTCGCTTCAAGCTGCGAGACGTCTGCTGTTTTGCCGTTTTGCTAGACATTTAGGCGTGATGACCAAGAGCAACAACATCAATGTCAACAAAGGCTTTTGTCTTTCCAACAAACAATATGTTCCCGTCTAGGTCTTACTGCAGTGGGAGCAAGAAAAACAGCAGTTTATGTAGAGAAAACATGAGAAAACATCGTCCAATTCTGGGGTTTCAAGCCTTTTCAGATTCACTTCTGGGTTGATGGGTTTGTACCAGAACTCTTGGTCGTCTTGGTGGCCCCACGTCCCCAGCGGTGGAAAAATACATGGGAAACTCTCAGACTCATCCATTGGATGGTCCATAGTAGGCTATGTCATTGATGCTTCCTCTTTATCCAGAACCATTGTTTTCAGAAACTGGTGTTGGAACTCATGATCCGAGCCTTTTTCGGGAGCAACAAGATGATCCAGTCATCTCAACGTTGAGGACTTCATCCAAAAGAATCCACTTCTGGGATCCGACCGTTGGGGATTCAGATCGATAAGAATGCAGGCATCCAACTTCAAGTGGAACATGGCCACTAACCAGCCACTTCTCACCAGTTCGAACTTCATCTTCCAACCATCCAGTTCTGGGACGAATCGGAGATCCAAAGGGAAAGACCTGGGACGCAGGAGACCTGGGACGAGGCAGTGAGCGGGAAGACGGTCTTCGTCAAGTTCCTCGCTCCTTGGCCCCTCGGTTGCGGAAGACGCCCGACCGGAAAGACCGGCGGAACCGGCGGTTCTGCGGTTGGAGACCGGTGTTTGGCGTGGACGTGTGGAAGGGTGGGAAAATCCGTGGGTTGGGTGAGAACGCTTTATTCGTTTGCGAGGCTCTGGACCACGAAGGCACCGTTTGGTGTAGAAACTGCTCCTCTTCCAAACCAAACTCGGGGTGCAAACTCGTGCGTTGGGGAGATTGTTTCTTCCTCGCGCAGGTGAGGCCACTGCAAGAAGATGAAGCCCGAAGCGAGATCGCAACGAGTGCAGGGCTGGTGCAGGGCTGGTGCCGGTGCAACCGCCCGGTGGGGGGAGTAGTGAGCAGCTCTGTGGTTGAGTGGTTTGATTGAGTTGTGCGCTCTGTTAGGTTGAGAGGGTTGATCAGTGGATCTCGAATGATCTTGATAAACGGTACTGGAAATTCCTCTATAGCTTCATTGACTTTGGACATGCGCAGATGTTCATTTTTGTCTAGCACAATCGTCCAATGCTTCCAAAACATGTCACTTTGCAAGAGAGCTGAAGGAGTCCGGTGGTTTCAGTCTTTTTCAGTTTCCAAGTGGGCTGAAACAAAAACTAACAGATCCAGGCCTGATTCTTAGTGAAACCAGTTGCAGGACGTAACTTGCTGATGGATCCCACAATTCTCCTCCCGGTCAAACAGCTGGGAAGTCCATGATCCGGTGCTTGATTCTCGTCTCAGCCATTGCCAGACCTCGGGGTAAACCCACTGAAGAACCTCGTGCATACGCCGGATGTGACTGATGAAGGATTGGGACAAGCTGATGAAGGAGTACGAGGGCTCCTCCAACATTCTGATCGCAGATGTGGATTGCACCGCCGGTGGAAAGAGCAAGTGGCTCGGCTTTTTTGGATCAGAGCCGTGGGTGATGATTTCACAGCCAGGCGCCAGGCATGGCTTAAGTTAGTTTCTGGGAACGATGTGAGTGTTAGTAAATGGTGTCAGCCAGCTGCCATCTTTTTTAACGTTTTGGCAGAGGCTTCTTTTGGTGGGTTGGTGATGCATAAAGTGCAATACAATTTAGTTTGCATCACTTGCATCATTGCTGCTTTTGGCACTAGAAGAAATTCTGAACAACAATCGCTGGTGGACCAAAGGGCTGGACACAGGCCAGCACAAGCGCAAGCATAAGGGGATGGGGCTATGCTAGCCACCTGGCTTTTCAGTGCATGTGGTCAGAAGCAGAACACTTCATTTTCTAAAGAGCGCGTTGTGTAAACGGTGGCCTGTTCACTTCCACTCATGGCCTGGGGCTCTGCTTCTCGAGCGTGCGATCGAAAGCTGGTTGAGCCTTACGTTGATGCGGTTTCCCTCCTGCTCTTTACTGGCTTTCGCTCCCCCCTTCTCAGGTACAATCCCAAATTCACAGACCTTCTCGAAGGTGACTGGATTGGTCTTTCTTCTGAGAGTAAGGCATTCTCTTTCCTCCACTTCGAAACCTGCCACTGGAAGCAGATCTTTTCGATTTTCCCTCGGGTGGATGACCAAACAGTCACATTTGCCCGACGCCGATCACATAGGAGGTACTTGCAAGGGAGCGGCCCCAACAACAAACAAACAAACAAACAAACAAACAAACAAACGACCAAGCAAACCCAAATAATAAACAAAGAACACCAAGCAGAAACGAACAAAAACCACACACAATCAAACAAGCAATCAAACAATCAAACAAACAAACAAGCAAACAATCAAACAAGCAAGCAAACAAGCAAGCAAGCAAACACACCAACAAACCAACAAACACCACCCACCCACCCACCCAGCCAACCCACCCAGAGGCCAACCCACCCACTTACCGAATCCTCCTCAACTCTCCATCAAGATTCCGATCTTCAAACTTCTTGATGCGTATGGCTGTGTTTTGCGACTTAATACAAATTCAAAGCAGTATTCAAAACCTCTCGCGACCGCGATTGTATCAGGAAACCCTATAGCGATTGGAGGCTCTTCGAAAACAGTATTTTTAGGAGACCCCCCCTTGGGGAAACAGCATCACTTTGACCTCGATCCACATGGCCGGCCCGTGATAGACAACCACTGCCACTTGAGACAATGCCCAGGTGTGAGGAGGTGGGCGTTCGTGGCTATCCCACCATCAAATACGGTGACCCCGATGACCTCCAGGCCGGGAAGTTAAGATATATAGGGAATCACACGACCTGATGGCATTACAGTGGTTTCAGAGGGAGTAGAAGGCACGTTTCCCCCAAGATGTCCTAGACAGATGATCGGTCCACAAAGCCACCGACATTGGGGTCTGTGCCATCTACTCTCCATCCACTACAAATGCAAAACGCCTTTAAAAACAACTAGTACTATGGGATGACAAGGTTCTCATTCTGGAAAACCACGGCAATTGAGATTGTGGCATGGCTGGGCTTGGTAGTCTTGGTAGTCGTGGTCTTGAGCACGGGGATCCAAAGATCGCTAGAGTCATGTTCTGTTCGGTAGAAAGGACATATGTTCAGCGCACCAAGTCTCGGCAAACCATTTGGCCGGGCCAGAGTTTGCCATTGACCATTTTCCATCCTATTTGGCCATTCCACACGAAGCGGGACCGCCATCGTTCTTCCACGTGCGTCGTCACGACTCCGTCAGGACTACAAGGGCGGTCGCTCCTTCAGCGACCTCTCGAGCTTTGCGAAAGGCTTGGGCCCAGCCTGTGGCCCTGCCAATCCAGCGCCCTGGATCTGGAACACATCGCTGGCCAAGAGCATGGATGACATCCTGTATTTTTTTCGCATTGAGCACTGAAGGTGTGTAGTAGGTCTTAAGTGGTAGGTAGGTCGTGGTAGGTTGGTGGATCTTAGTAGTCCCTTTGCCCCGTCCTTCACAAATTATACGAATGATGAACTTGCCCACTGACAAATTTGGCCAGTTCCCCAATGACGTTGCAGACTGGTTCATTACCAGAGTTCGCTGACCCACATTCAACATGAGTCTCTCTCAAATAACATGCTCCGGCTGCCATGTGGTTGATTTGGCTTTTGCCGGCTGCTAAAGGGACCGGTTTCTTCCACGCTTTGTGGGTTTGAGGTTTTCCCCGGGACCAACCTCACCCAATTGGAAAACCATCCATTTTGTCCATATCTTGCCCTAGCCAGTTTTGGAACATTGGTTCTATAAAGCTATTGTCGATCCCCAAATCCGGATTGTCTTCAGATGCCCCGAGGAGTTGTGCGACGCGGCCAAGAAGAAGATGTTGGACGAATTCATGGCCTTGGACGGTACCAAGCGGGATGCCATGATCAAGGAGAGCGCCCGATTTTCGATCGTACAGGGTTTGGGAGAGTGGGGTCAGTGGGCCCGTCTTACGCATGAAAAATAGAACAGGTTACTACAGCACTTCATGCTATCAGGAGTGCACAGCCCGACACAGCCCCACCTGGCGGGCGCCTTTGGCGACTTCCGCGCGCTCCGAGTCGTCACAGACGACCACCGCGCGCGGAGTCGTCACGCTCGTTCGAGCTCCAGGAGAAGGAGGATGAGATCGAAAAGCTCGAGAGTGGCTTCAAGACCTTCGTGGAGGGCCTCCAAAAGTATCTGACCTGACTGTCTATACACTTTCATTCACGTTTTTCGAAATGGAGTGGAAAACCTCCTGTTTTGGTCGAGGACAGTCTTCCGTCCCATTTTCCACTTCCATGTTACGTGAATCAGACACAAACCTCTCGGACGACCCGCCCGAAATCGGTGGATCGGACGACTCGGTGGGAAGGAGCGGTTGGGAATCCACGACTTTTTGCGGCGAAGGGGCCTTGCGCCCGAATGAGCAGACCAGTTGTTTGTCTTTGAAAGATTGGACAAACTGGGCATGAAGATTCAGTACATCGACAAGAAGGACTGGACATAGAGTCATAGAGCAAACAAAAAAGGCTTACCCACCGCCACGCGATATCCATTTGGGTCGTTTCTGAGGCAATACCAGGAGGGCAGCGACAAGAAGGATGCAGACGTCGAGGTGGCTTTCGGGGTGATCATGCTTCATTTGTTTTCCTTGTCCAATTCTGACTATCATCAACTATCAAGTTTGGATATGTTTGGATAGTGGTCGTTTAAAGTTTCTTTCTACACTTTAAACACGCGCCGCCCATAAACCAAAATAGTATAATAAATAGATATAGTCGTTTTCCACTGTTTTCCCTGAGACGGGTCTTTGGGATCAGAACTGGTTATTTTTCTTGCTTCAGATAGAGCCATTTGACACGATTTGTTACAATTATGAGGACTCATGAGCTGAAACTCATGTTTGCAGCAGCATCAGCCTTTGCTAGATTCAGATACTCAATTCTGCACTTAGATGTAGCACTTCCCAACAATTCCAGCTGCCAGTGCTCCACTTCCTGATGCTGATTCAGCTGGACAAAAAAATCATCTCAAACCTGTCAAACATCTTGCTTTTTGGAAGGAGCTTCTTCTGTCAAGCTTCCAACACGTTGGGGTGATAAAATGCTCTTCATCACACGAAACTCATCAAAAGGTCGTGACCTCGAAACCGTCCGCCTCGTCCGAGTTCGGATCGCGGGCGACACTCGGGGTGACCCCGAGGAACGGAACCGCGCCAGGCCATCAAGACCTCGGGCTTGGGGTTGCTCAAGGCAGTGCACAACTATGCCAAGAAGCAGAAAGGTGAGCTGTAAAGCGCTCAAACCTTCGACCTCAGTGGTCAGTGGTTCGATCTGGAGCTGAAATGACAAGATCCTAAAGCATCCAGAGAAGATTGGGTATCCATCTCGACCCCTTTGTCTATCACTGCCCGATTCGCAAGAGCAGACCGTGCACAGCATCCTGTTTGTTCGAAATGAGTGAGCACAGTCAGGTACAGTCGCTATATGTATATTTACACAATCAAATGGTGTTGTTTTTGTTATATTGGAGTAAGCTGGATTTCCCGAAACTTACTGGGCCTAGCGTTCACCCACTTTGTTCCAGCATGGCGTTGTGGGTTTCTCGGATTCTAAGCCCTCTAAGCCTAAGGGCAGATGCAAAATGAAGAAAGTTCTGTGGAAGATCACTTTACCACTTGGCTGAACAGTCCACTCAAAAGCTCCAGGTCGCAATGATCTCAATCTTGGCTGCCACAGAAGGAAGACTCGGAATCTCCAGACAAAAACGCAGATTGCAAAACACATATTCATCTATAATAGAACCAAGAGATTTAGGAGTTCTCAGGTATGATAGCCGCAGAGCCCTCCTCTTGTCGCTTTTGGTCCCTGGCTCTTGATACCCCTCATGTTCAGGGAGTCACTCCTGGAGCGGGGTGGAATGCCGGGGTCGATTGGTGTGTCAGGAGCGGTTGGCTGAAGGCCAGAGACTCGTTTGACTTCTCAGTTTTTCTGGTTTTAAGTCTTTTCCTGGATCTCGGACTCCAAGTCTTGCTATACTGAAAAGACACACACGGCACACATATCACCTCAAGATCATAGTCATCCACAGCTACCTGTTTTGGGGCAGAACTTACAAGAGATCCAGGAGATATATGCCTTTTCTTGGGAGATCCAAACATGGTTGCTCGAGCGTGAAAGCGTGCCCTGTGCACCACATGAGTGCTTTTGTGGGCAGTTTTGAGAAGACAGACCTTGGCAACTTTGCGAAGGATGCCAAAATGTCCTGCAGGTTTTTCTCAACGGTTCTGTTCACCTAGGATTCACAAGCCAAAAATGCCCAGGGAGGTTTTCAAACTTGTCATTGTCATGCAGTCAACAACACCCCCATGGTCTTTTGGCTTAGTGAATGGTTTTTTCTCAGTGCTTTGTGTCAGCAATTCAGGGTTGAGTTTGTTATATATCATACACAGTAAAGTATATTCAGGGTTCATATACTGTTTATATCAATTTCGGGCTTGAATTGACCACCGGTGCTTGAGTTGACGTCAAAACCGATGTAAAAACCGACCTTCTGACACTGCAACTTCCTGTCCACGACGCCGTGTGTGCACCGAAACAGTGCTTTGGACCGAAGAAAACCGCTGAAGACCTGCGCGGCGCGACCATGCGAGCAGGACCTGATGGACGATCCAGAAGGCTCACAGGCGCGACGACTGTAAGCAGAGTTGGCAGACCTGGACCGAGTGGCGGAGGAAGAAACTTCCCTTTTTTTTTTTCGGTTTTGGGTGAGGAAATGGAAGTGGAGGAAGTGGACGATGGTGGTTATTATATGTGCATTGTGTTTGTCAGGCGAGGTGGTGTGCATGTATGTTGACACATTCTTGGTTGAGGAGAGCCCAACACGTGCTGAGTTTCGGACGTTGGAGAACAGATTCTGGGGTTGCTTGCACATGAAGCAAAGAGTTCAATGGCAGTTCATCATTGATGGTGGTTCATGATTCTCAATCCCTACGACAAGCCCAGGCTTGCCCCAAGAAGTTGTGCCCACAACTAAAAGCCAACATCAACATTCTTCAACTCAGGAGAAGCTTCGCGCAGGGTGCTCCATGTCTTTTGATTTCTTTCGATCCTGACGGGGTGTCACCACGTGTCACGATGAACAACGCGCCCAGGGCTTCTGTTTGCTGAACAACGTGGCCATAGGTGCTGCCTATGCGTGCCTTGGACACAAGAAACAGGCGACGGAACCCAACACTCAGCTATTTTTCTGGAGGGTCTCGGATATTTCTAGGGCTGCTCATAGGTCCATGGAAATCGGACATTTGTCTGATTCTGGGTGTCTTCCAGTCAGCACAGTCCAAAATACCTACCCTATGGTTCCACTACATTATCCAAATGGGCATGACATCGCAAGGGTACTCAAGACCTGGGGCCAACTGACAGGATAGTCATTTAGTACCAATGGGGATTGTGATGTTGAATCCAGAACATGACATGGTTCAACAAGCCATCAGTCCATGTGTGCCATGTGTCCTTCATTCCTCCACGGGTCTTCTTCCACGAGGAAGTGCGTCTATCGGCATGTGATCCACAAGGTGCGGATCCTTAGACCGGAGAGAGAGTGGATGGAGGTGCCGCTGAGACTGAGATCGGGAGTTTGGAGCTGAGACTGAATGAAGTCATGAGGAAACCAGAGGTATTGCCATAGTTATTGATGTCTTGACAAGATAATTCAGACAAGGGAGCTTTTGCACTCTTTTCGGAGCAATGCAACTAGTCTCGAGTATTTGCCAAGCTGACACCCAAATGATCCAGATGGTCGCCCCACATTCCGAGACAGCCCCACAAAGAAGCCCTTGTTAGGGGGAACAGGCTTCATGGACGTTCCAAGAATAGACAGGCTTAATCTGATTCTCTCGACTTGGCCAACTGGGTCCCATGAGCTGGATGATCCCCCAGTTACCCAAACCCACCTCCCGACCCGCCGCGTCGCCCCTGTCGGCCAAGCCCAAGCCCGCCCGGGCGCCCAGCGAGGTGGCCATCATCGACTTCGATGTGCATCACGGCAACGGCACTGAAGCCATCGCCCCTCAGCACCGAAGCGGTGCGTGGTACGGTGGCGGTGGGAGAGCCACACGTGCGGTGGTGGGAGGTTTTAGGTTGGGCTCTGGTGGTTTCTGAGGAAATGATCACGAGCCCCCTACAATTCTACAATTCACTTTGCAGGAAGTTGAGTTTCATGAGGTGAGCCCACAGCCATTGAATGTCCCGAATGACCAATATGCATCCAGCTCCAAAACATGAACATAGTTCCTGACAGATGAACCAACCGGGGTTTGGTCCAAAAACGACGCCCAGCAACCATCGCAGCCTGATCCGAGGTCAAGAATCTCAACTACCGGCCAGATGCTCCCAAGGCTTGCAAACGTGTGCGCAGCTTGTGCCAAGCCTTCGTTGCCCAGGTCAAGTGCTGGTCCTCTGTGTGTATTGTCCATCTTACGTACTCTCTACAGCTTTCTCTGGCTGCGTTGTGAAAATCCGGTGACCCTGTCCTGGGATGGTTATCTACAAGTTGAATAGTAGTTGATTTTAAAAGAATCTATATAATTGGGAGCGTTCTGACTAATCAGGACCAGGATCATCGCGAAACACAAAAATGAAGCACTGAAGCATGCAACGCGAAGCACCAAAACGCGTAACGCGAAGCACTGAAACACAGTTCGCTTTCCCTTTTCCAGATATAGCTTCACCCGTTCTCTTCATTTTCCGCCATTCGTCTCTGGCCAGTTGCAGGAACAGCGTGGGACACTGACTCACGCTGGGTCCATTCTGAGGTGAGCCTGGCGAGGGAGGGAAGCTAACTTGGCATCCAAGTGAAAGTCTTCAGAAGGCTGATGGACACGCCAAAGATACTTTATGATTGTAGAGTGGCTCATAGTCCAATGATGGGAGATGTGCACCTGAGAAGAAATGTTGCAGAGTTGAAAGACGACCTCCTGCAGTAGTTTGCTCGTATAGTAGACCCCCCCACTTGTTGAGACCCCCTACTCTATTTGTAGGATGCTTTGGTTTGGCCTTTGATTGACCCTTTGGATCAGCAATATTTAGCAGGGGACTGCGACTTCTTCTTTAGCTCGGATGAGCATGGAGGTGCATACCTGCAAAGAAAGCAAGAATCATCCTCTGTGTGGCCACCTATGGCATGGAAGAGCCGTGAAGTCTACTGTAGTGTTTGTGTTCCAGCAAATCCAAGCCTCCCAAGCACATCTCGTTGTCTGACCATCGGGTGGTTTTGGAGCGAGGTGGTCGAGGTGGTCCCCGAAGGTGGAGCCCTCTGACCTACGAGGTCAGCTGTCAGCTGTAGGAGGTCTCAAGGGATGGAATCATGGCAGGAAAAAGCCATTGGGTGGATGTAATGCCCGCACCAAATGAGTGGACCCAAACAAGTGGTCTGAAAAACCCATGGCCAGACCGAGTTCTGCCACGTTGGTCCAGAGTCGTTGTGCCAAATACGTGTGCCATTCAGACCAAGTGTGCCATTCAGATCTAAACAGCCAGACCAAGTGAGTTCAAGACATGCCATTCAGACTCTTCTGTTAGGGTGGCTGATCAGGTCTTTCTCATCAGACAAACTGTTCCTGGGAACATCGCAGCCGCGGCTCTGACTGAGAGCTGAAGAGGGCTCATCCCATCTCATCCCCCTTATAGTGAAGAAGGAGTGGTCAGGAGCTAGGAGGAGCTAAAGGTAGAAGGAGCTAGTAGGCTGGCAATTTGTTTCTCTCTGGCTCCGAACAAAAAGCGGACAACACCACCCCCACTGACCCCTACTGACCCTCACTGACCCTGCACCTCACCCGCAAAACGCGACGAACGCAGTCGTCGGGTCGACTTCAGGTTGGTCTTAGAGAAGCCACCCTCCTGCAAGCTCGGGGCTCGGTTGGGGCGGTGCTTCGGGCCGACCAATGGGCTGGTGCGACATGGGCGTGACGAGCTGGTGGACATGAAGAAAAAGAACCGAGTGGCACCGAAGATGGAAGAAGTAGTTCCAGTTCCAAAGCAAAGACCTACTGCAATTTGTGAAATCATCGACCATCATTGTCCATCATATTCATCCGCTGTTGAGGTCTAAACTCTGAGACTCGGAGGGTTGATGTGGTCAACCACCGGTGAGGTTTGACTCCTCTTCGAGCCGGACATTTCAGAGGCAGACCAAACACAAGTGACCGTCAAGTCCTGGGGCGGGCGTGGGTGTTGACCGATGCCTAGGACCTTGTAAGGACCTTGTAGGATCTTGGGTAGTAGGATCCCCAATAAGAGGTTCTTCAATCCAAATACAGGTGGTTGATGAATCAAGTTCCTTCGTTCGGCTCCCTTG